AGTTTCAGACTCCGCGTATCCACACAGATGATGAGGTAGCTCTTATCGGAACCCGGGTATCCGAAGAGTTGAATGCATGGTTATGTTATAATCTGTACGACTCTACCAAACTTGTTTTAGATGTAGACTGTAATGTCAATGGTAGTAATTCTAATGGTAACAAAGTTGTTAAAAATAAGAGAAAAAATTCGGCCAAACACGCTAAAATTAATGATGATGATGGCTTTCAGAAACCATCAGAAACTGCAAAAGGAGTTCGGCTGACTCAGCCTCAGGCTATCCTGCCTTTGCAAAACAAATTTGCTAACCTATCGGTGCAAAATCCTAATACTGAAATTTGTCAGGATTTAGTAGATGAACATGTTAATGCTTGCATAGAAAATGTTATTAAAAATTCTGATGTTGCATGTACTAATGGTTCTTCTGATAATAATGTTGATAATGTTAACTATGTAAATCAAGCTGGTGGTGATGTAAATCCTCAGACAGGAAACCCGCACCCGCAGTATGACCTGCAAGCTCCTCCTCCTATTATGGTTAGGCCGAAAGTCGGCACTAAATACTATGACTTCTTGAAAGAGGTAGCTAAAGAACTACCAGACTGCAAGTTCTTTGGCCGGGTCACTGGCGAATTTTTAAAAGTACTTCCTACTACTGCCGATGATCATCGGACCTTAAGTGAATTCTTCCTGGCTCACAAGATTGAGCATTATGTAGTTAGCCCAAAAAACAAAAAACCAGTCAAGGTCCTTATTAGAGGCCTCCCTATCGACGCAGATGTAAATATTATTGCAGAGGCACTGCGTGAGTTAAACTTCAATATTAACAAAGTCGTGCAATTAACGAAGTATCGCACCAAGGCACCCATGCCGCTATACCAGGTACAAATTTTCCCAGATAAAAATTTGGATGATATTTACCAAATTAAGCATCTAATGTATTTTAATATTACAGTTGAAAAATATATTAGCAAAAATCAAGTCCCGCAATGCCATAATTGTCAGAAATGGCATCACTCTTCTGAAAACTGTCACGTAGCACCTAGGTGCGTTAAATGCGCGGGTTTTCATAAAACCGGAAACTGTGACAAGCCCGGAAAAATTGAAAATCCTGTTTGTGTAAATTGCCTCGGGCCTCACGTGGCTTCGTATAGAGGGTGCCCCAGGTTCCCTACATACAAAAAAGCAAATAAAAACAATAATACTAAGCCGGGAATCAGTTATGCTCAAGCAATTAAAAATACTAGCAAAGTCAGCAATGCCTCTGCCACTAGTATCTCTGCGGTTGCGGGTCAAGCAAAAATGCAACATCCAAAAAAGGCTGATGTTCCCACCTATGTAAGAAAACCAAATCTCATGCATGAAAATGCTCTTAAATCTACTCCTGAGAATATAAATAATGATAAGACAAATCTTAGTCATGGTTCTAACGACATATTTGAACTCATGAATATAATGAAAGAAATTGAAAATATATTCGGATGTAATTTAAGCAAAATAATTAGTGTGTATAAAAGTAAGCTGCCTGAACTCAGGAAATGCGAGCACATCCTGGATAAGATCCAGGTCCTGCATATTATGCTTGAGGAAATACACGGGCTCGCAGAAAATGAGTGATCATGAATAATGACCTTATAATTGTCACATGGAACGCAAACGGATTGTACCATAAATTAGATGAGTTACGCATTTTTGTAAATGAGCACTGTCCTGATATTTTACTCCTACAGGAACACAAGCTTAGTCCACACACGAATGTCCAGATCGCCAACTACTGTGTCTACAGGCTCGACCGGGAAAGGACCAACAGCCACCCAGGAGGTGGACTTTTAATCCTCGTTAAGCGCTCCATCACCCATCATCACACAACACTGCCACAGCTTTTAGGCCTAGAAGCCATAGCTATTACAGTCACTACACTCACCTCACATCCACTCACTGTTATCTCTGCCTATATACCCAGCAACAAAAGATCACAAGCAAATATTGCGCAGGATTTTGAAGCGCTATTCCAACTCAACAGGAAAATAATCATAGGCGGAGACTTCAACGCACACCACCGCGCATGGAACTGCAGTAGATCAAACTACCTAGGCTCTGTCTCTGTACTTCACCGATTTGCCACTGAGGCCGGTGTTACCATTGCAGCTCCAGACACACCAACACGCTACAGTGCCAGATCAGCGAATGTTCTGGATTTCTTCCTTCTAAAAGGTTGTTATCACAGATCCATTCAAACCCTCACCGAGTTATCCTCTGACCATAATCCGGTCATGATACAGGTGGGAACGGCTGTTTGTAGCACACCACACAAAAAGGCCTTTATTACTAACTGGGCAGGATATGCCAAAGCCTTAAACAACACCACATTACACATTCCAACAGCCACCACGGGTGATGAGTTAGATGCTTTAGTCGAAGATTTTACTGCAAACCTAACAACTGCCTTGGATGCAAACAGCTTACCAGTTACTCACCGGCACAAAGCAACTGATCCAGAGCTCAAGAAACTCATACAAGAAAGAAACGCTGCCAGAAAGATCTGGCAAAGGCATCGGTTCCCGGCAGATAAAACCACACTCAATAGACTGAATCATCTGGTCAGGACTCGAACCTACAAACATGCACAACGCGACTGGACCAACTATCTCACGTCCCTTTCAGCAGATCCTAGCTCTGTCTGGAAGGCGACTGCTAAACTCAAGAGATGCTACACAAACATTCCGCCCCTTAACGGCCAACAAAATATTGCCCTCACAGATATTGAGAAAGCTGAGTCACTAGCTGATCACTATGCTTCTCAATTCTGCACAAACAACATTTCTCACCCTCAAACAGAACACCTTGTTAACACCACACTCACAGAATTCCTTTCAAAACCACGCACGAACAACATCACTCCTGTCAGACCCTCGGAGGTCTATGGCTACATCGAAAAACTGCTCATCAAGAAAAGCCCTGGCATTGACAAGATCTCAAACAAGATGATCAGAAAACATGGGAACTCTCATGCTACTGAAGCTCACTTCTATCATCAATGCCATCCTAAGACTTGGACACTACCCAATGCCATGGAAGATTGCTATTATTGTGCCCATCCTTAAGCCTGGAAAGACTCCTAGAGAACCAGCCTCCTACAGACCAATCAGTCTTCTGTCCTCGCTCAGCAAAGTGGCAGAGCATATCATCCTGACAAGAATCCATGCCTACATGGATCTTAAAAAGCTAATTATCCCTCAACAACATGGTTTCAGGAAGAAACATTCCCCTGTCCACCAGCTGTACCGAGTGACAGATTACATCTCCAAAGGACTGCAGGAGCGGCAGACCACTGGTGCCATCTTCCTTGATGTAGCTAAGGCCTTCGATCGTGTCTGGCTGGAGGGCCTCATGCACAAAATCATCACGCTGGGCTTCCCAGATTACATCACAGCCATCACCTACTCCTATCTTAAGGATAGACACTTTGTCGTTCGTGTAAACAACACATACTCAACCACACGGGCTATCAGGGCTGGGGTCCCACAAGGAAGCCTCCTTGGGCCCATATACTACAATATTTACACGAACGATATCCTACAAACACCACACACCACCCTGGCTATGTACGCTGATGACACGGCAATACTCTCAAAAAATGCATCTCCTGGTCCAGTTATACAAGCACTTCAATCTCACATCCACACACTCGAGTCCTGGCTTACTGCCTGGAAATTTAAAATCAACGTAGAGAAGTCGGAGGCGATCTGGTTTACAAAAAAAGTACACATCGACCTGGAGGACATCCTCATGTATAATACCCCTATTCAGTGGACTAGGCAAGCCCGATACCTAGGCATCACTTTAGATAGGCGGCTCACATGGACCCCACACATTACACAACTTATTGCCAAGTTCCGTGCTCGTAAACGAACACTTACCCCCTTAATTAGCCGGAACTCCGTTCTCTCTATTGATAATAAGTTGCTCATTTACAAGACCCTTTTGCGTCCCATACTTTCTTATGCCTGCCCTGTTTGGGGATATACCAGCAACACTAACATCAACAAACTGCAAGTCTTGCAGAATGTTACCCTTAGGCAAATCTCTAGAAGCCGATGGTTCATCAGAAACACGGCAATCCATGAGGAGTTGGAAATTCCAACAATCCCAAATTATTTTGCACTCCTCGCTGAAAAATTTTATGAAAATATTCCTAATGTAAACAACAATACAATTACTGTACCTCAATATGACCATACACTTGCTGCTAATAGCAAGCGCCCGCTTGCGATTCTCAGACATTTAAATTAACCCCTTTTTCTGGCAACCAATTATGTAACACCCTTCCTTACTTCAGCTTTGTTTTTGTTTTTTAAGTATAGATTTGTACTGCTGCCTGACTCTTATTTTTGTAAATAATGTACATAATTCCTATTTTATATTTTATTTATGTCTTCCTACTATGTATTATTTAAGTATCTCTGGATTTATTTTGTATTTAAGTATCTATGTGTGTTATTATAAATTACCCAAATGTGTTATTACGAGTGGTCACACGGACGCTTGTTCGGACTAGCAATAGGGAATTTCTTCTACATGCCATTGCACACTTACCTTCGTCTAAAGGCTTATCAGTTTCACTGGTTGTTTCTTCTGGACTCTGTCATCGGTTCGTGTATGAACTTTCATTGTGTTCGAATCTTCATGTCAATTGTTCGAAGACTCATGGAATCGAAAGTCGCACATATTATCCCGGGATAGCGTTGTCACGCGGGCACCCACTCTGCGATAACTCATCGAGTTTGCCTGAGCCGAAGAGTTGAAGCTAGTGAAAATGAAAGGATACCGCGCCACACATGTAATTATATTCTTTTCCCGGGTTATTTTTTTAAAAATATTTTGTCATGAGCGAAATTTATTATTATTTTTTTCTGAATTTGTGAAGTTTATCATTTCAAGGCAATCTGTACTTCCCTGTTCCGGTTATATATCTGTCTCATTCTATAGATCAAAAGGAAAAAACGTAGTGGAAGGCCTGCAGATTGTGTGAGTAGAGTAGCTACATCAGTATGAAGAGGAAGAGGTCGTCAGGTTAGACATTGGAAACATTTCGAAAAAACCTGGGCTTCGCCAAGTAGGAGTTGTTCCTGAATAGATTTCAGTGCAAGTAAGATGATTTTTTTTTGTACCTAATTTTCTTTTAAATCTTTTAATATGCTTTTTTATTCCTTGTCATTTATGCGGAAATTTTTATTTTTTCTCAGATGAATCTGAATAAAGGGCAACTCACATATGTGCACACGGTGCCGAGGATTTGATTTTATAAACCTTTTTCATGCCTGAGCTGTTTTTTAAACTCAATACTCCTATTTTTCAGGTCTATATCTCCCCACGCTAGAGGTGGCTGCGATTCACTTGTAGTCTGCCAAGGAATTTGTGGTACAGTATGTCTTTACAAATATTATACAAATATTACCACATAAACGACAATAAAGTTCATATTATAACTTTTTAATTCAAAAGGAGACTTTTATAGTTTCCGTTAAAGGTATTATTATCGATACATGCCACCACAATACGATTAGGCATTTGAACTGTGAAAATATTGTCTTGAATAAAACTGATATTTCCAGCTGGAATAGAATATGCTTTGCGGAGCACTCTATTAACCGGATATTTGGTTGTTGTTTTGTCTATGCTTTTTGCATGTTCTAGCAACATCAGGTCTGACTTGCACTTTTATTACTAAGAATCATGCCCGAGTAAAACTTTAAATTCATCATCGCCCAGTAAACTGAATTCAGGTTTGTTGCGTACTAGTTCAATTACTACTTTATTCTGATTTCAGCTTTCACGTAATCTATAGTTAATATCGCTTTTCCTAAAACACGTTTTCAATGTATTATCGTCTCCAGTGTTCACTTCTTTTTTCACATATTTTCATATTCGACTACCTCCTCTAAGAATGTTTTCGTAGTTAGTTCATCCATAATTTCTGCTGAATCGTTATGTGTTATCAGCAGACACTACTACAATAAAGTCGCTCTTAAATCAGCAGAAAAGAAACATCAATTCCGAATAAGATATTTTTCCGAATAATTTAATATATTTCTAGACTTATGTTTTGTATACATGGTCATTACAATACGCGAAATCTGGTCGTACTTTTTGACATCGCCCACTATTAAATAAATAATATCTTCAACCGTACATATTTAGCAAAAGTTATTAATTACTTTTAAAGTATGAAATATAGAGATAAAAATATTCTTCATTCCTTCTTGCGCTCACAAATTATAATGCGGTATACATTTACAACATTTAAAGCTTGACGAACATATATCTGCGATGTTATCATCATGAAATGTATGTAGGTGTATTGTTTTTTACCACGATATCTACCACAACGATGTTTTAAAACCGTGTTGTTTTTAACATCATTTTTGAGAACGAGGTCTTATACTACGATGCTTTAGTACTGTAAAGTTTTCTCCTTGCTTTCATGTATCCCACTATGTTTTGTATCATGATGTTTTTTACCTTGCATTGTTTTCTCCTTTTTTGTCTGTAATGTTTTCGCTTATAACATCCTCATGCCTTCCTCTTCGTTATCATTTTCTCTTTTCCCAGTACGTTCTCGATTCATTTTGAGCGAGTATGATAAGAATAGATTTATTTACATCATCCAAGCCTTCACTAAAACTAATCTCCGAACATGTAACTAAATCCAAGATATCGCACGTGGGCGCCGAAGTGTTTTAAAGCCAAAAGAATCTTCATAATTCCGTTTTTCCTTTGTGAACGTGGCCCACCAGCGGCCGAGCGGTAAAGTCGCTGAACAGTGGTAGCTCGGTCCGAAGTTCGAATCCCGCGAACGGGCTGGCTGCATGGGCATTTTCGTGGTTTTCCCCATTAGTAACGTGTATACGAGCCAGTTTCCCTTAGAAAGTCCTCCACGAAGGCATTCCTCCCCTTAGGCAGATAGCCCTTGTGGTTTTGCCGTAATTAAATAACCTAACCTAACCTTTGTGAACATGATCATAGGTCCCAATTTACATTAATAGCGAGGAAAAGCAATGCTCTTCATATCTTTAATAGCAAAATGAATAGCAGATACGGTGTCTTCAGTGAGAATTGTTTTCTGCAAGGAGTAAATAACCTAACCTAACCTTTGTGAACATGATCATAGGTCCCAATTTACATTAATAGCGAGGAAAAGCAATGCTCTTCATATCTTTAATAGCAAAATGAATAGCAGATACGGTGTCTTTCAGTGAGAATTGTTTTCTGCAAGGAATTAAATAACCTAACCTAACCTTTGTGAACATGATCATAGGTCCCAATTTACATTAATAGCGAGGAAAAAGCAATGCTCTTCATATCTTTAATAGCAAAATGAATAGCAGATACGGTGTCTTTCAGTGAGAATTGTTTCTGCAAGGAATTAAATAACCTAACCTAACCTTTGTGAACATGATCATAGGTCCCAATTTACATTAATAGCGAGGAAAAGCAATGCTCTTCATATCTTTAATAGCAAAATGAATAGCAGATACGGTGTCTTTCAGTGAGAATTGTTTCTGCAAGGAATTAAATAACCTAACCTAACCTTTGTGAACATGATCATAGGTCCCAATTTACATTAATAGCAAGGAAAAGCAATGCTCTTCATATCTTTAATAGCAAAATGAATAGCAGATACGGTGTCTTTCAGTGAGAATTGTTTCTGCAAGGAATTAAATAACCTAACCTAACCTTTGTGAACATGATCATAGGTCCCAATTTACATTAATAGCGAGGAAAAGCAATGCTCTTCATATCTTTAATAGCAAAATGAATAGCAGATACGGTGTCTTTCAGTGAGAATTGTTTCTGCAAGGAATTAAATAAACCTAACCTAACCTTTGTGAACATGATCATAGGTCCCAATTTACATTAATAGCGAGGAAAAGCAATGCTCTTCATATCTTTAATAGCAAAATGAATAGCAGATACGGTGTCTTTCAGTGAGAATTGTTTCTGCAAGGAATTAAATAACCTAACCTAACCTTTGTGAACATGATCATAGGTCCCAATTTACATTAATAGCGAGGAAAAGCAATGCTCTTCATATCTTTAATAGCAAAATGAATAGCAGATACGGTGTCTTTCAGTGAGAATTGTTTCTGCAAGGAATTAAATAACCTAACCTAACCTTTGTGAACATGATCATAGGTCCCAATTTACATTAATAGCAAGGAAAAGCAATGCTCTTCATATCTTTAATAGCAAAATGAATAGCAGATACGGTGTCTTTCAGTGAGAATTGTTTCTGCAAGGAATTAAATAACCTAACCTAACCTTTGTGAACATGATCATAGGTCCCAATTTACATTAATAGCGAGGAAAAGCAATGCTCTTCATATCTTTAATAGCAAAATGAATAGCAGATACGGTGTCTTTCAGTGAGAATTGTTTCTGCAAGGAATTAAATAACCTAACCTAACCTTTGTGAACATGATCATAGGTCCCAATTTACATTAATAGCGAGGAAAAGCAATGCTCTTCATATCTTTAATAGCAAAATGAATAGCAGATACGGTGTCTTTCAGTGAGAATTGTTTCTGCAAGGAATTAAATAAACCTAACCTAACCTTTGTGAACATGATCATAGGTCCCAATTTACATTAATAGCGAGGAAAAGCAATGCTCTTCATATCTTTAATAGCAAAATGAATAGCAGATACGGTGTCTTTCAGTGAGAATTGTTTCTGCAAGGAATTAAATAACCTAACCTAACCTTTGTGAACATGATCATAGGTCCCAATTTACATTAATAGCAAGGAAAAGCAATGCTCTTCATATCTTTAATAGCAAAATGAATAGCAGATACGGTGTCTTTCAGTGAGAATTGTTTCTGCAAGGAAGGATTCAAGTTAACCCATCGATGGATAACAAGAAATTGGTAGTTCCATATTTACAAACGGGATGTGTTGGATAGGACTTGTTATGTTGGGCCACAGAAACACAAAACAGACGTTTTCCACATTGAAGTCTTCAGATTGTTAAGCTATGATATATTTTATTATCTCATCAGACTAAATTTCGGATTTAAATTTAAGCCTTAAAGTGTCCTTATTTTGATATTGAGGGTTAGGAGGGATTTTACTCTATGCCATTTCGTGTGTAGATATATTGGTATTCTTGAAGCATTGCTATCGTTAAGGTATTGTTTATTATTAATGCTGAATCTCACAGCTCTCTCAAGGAATTAACTCATATCATCATCATTAACCCGTTCCATTAGCATTATAAATGTGCTTGAAACATAATCTTTTATTTATGATGGTGAACTTTGTAATTAGTCTGTCATAAAATTCTCACTTGAAAAATATCATAAGTTACCTACACCGCACACATTCAGAGCTGGGTTTAGATTTGATAAGGTCCTAAGCTATCTGAAATATCGGTACCTTTATAAGTCTGTTATACCATATTTTTAAAAAAATTCAATTTTTTTTGGGGGGGGTGGGGGGGGGGGCTCGAAGAAAGTGGGGGGTAGGCTAAAATATAGCTCGTGTAGCTTATACGTAAATCCTGCACTGCATACATTAAACAAAATAATAATGAGTAGGAAGTGCATTTTTTTCAAAGAACTATTGATTAAACAGAATTTCAACACTTCAAGTAGGTGCACGTTATACGTAGCTTTTTCTTTTAACAATGAAAACTCTGATTGCCAGTGTACGAATACCTTCAAACAAGTTTGAAAAATATCATAATTTACAATTTTTTCCTTATTAAAATTTTCTTCTATAATTAATCAAAAATACGGAAAAGTCTGCTTTTAGGCCAATTTTAACTGTTAATTAACTAAAATAATTTAAGAGCGGGATGTATTTCAAGCTAATAATTAATGATTGATTACAAACTTCACCTTATTTTTTTCCCATTTTCTTTCGTTTCCGTTAAAATTAAAGACATTGCCTTTAAAAGAAATTTTTGGAAGAACTTTAATTATTTTCTAAAAATACAGTTAAATGTTAGACAGCAGAATTAAACACCGTAGTATTAATCAAAATTTTTGAAGTTTTCAGACAGAAATTCAATAAGCAAGCAAGAGTTTTATAACGCAAGAAGGAAAAAAAGGGTGGAATGAAAAATCACTTAACGATTTTCTAATTTTAGAACATAAGGAATTCGGTTTTCATTACAAGAAAAAAATTATGTTATCTTCTATAAATTCTTAGGTTTTCCAGCTCGATTCCGATTAATTGGAGATTCTAATTTTAAGCTCTAACATAGATAGTTTTTCGCCCCATGCTTCTCTTTCACCATAGTTATAATGTCACCTTCCTATCCACCTGTGTGGACCACTAATTCTTTTTGGCTAATAAGCTATGAGTACTTACTCTAAATTAAAGGTATCAAAACTCAAGCTGATTCATATTCGAGTGGTG